GTACTATATATATATATTAAATTAGATAAATTAAAAGTCCTGTTCAACGTTTCAGTGTTAAGTACTTAATTTCGTTTCAATAATGTAATTAATTGAATATTCTGTCACAACAATTTCTAGAAACGTTTTCGATGAAGCCATCCATGGAATTTATTAAGAAAACCAACTCAGAGCACTATTCGCATTAAATGGGAGAATAAATTGATAATGAGTTCCACTGTTGCCGTGACGGTAGCTAAAAATACAGCCTACAGTACACCCTACAATTTGTGCAACCTGTTCGAGTACGTGCCGACGCGTCGTCTGTGGCACACAGCAGGAGAGCGGCGCAGCAGCAGCAGCAGCAGCAGTGGCAGCAGCGGCTGCGGCAGACGCTTTAGACTTGGGTTCATCTTCGCCTCCTATGGCCAATTAGGGCTAATTTATGATTTCAATCATTTCTTAATTGCATTTAATGTGCAGCGATTTAGCCAACACAGCCAGCTATCAGCAGCAGGATGCATCTCCACTTGGTCACTCGGCCAAAGTTAATGAGGGGCTGGCCAGAACCGGCCCTGCACACCGCCCATCGCTTAGACGATACATTAACAGGGTCTTATCGGCGATGAATTAATTTGCACACATACACATGCACTTAAGGTCACAGCTTGGGGCTGTGTGCTGCTTGTGTGGTGGCTGTGTGGTGGCTGGTGGTGTGGTGCTGTTGCTGGGCATATAAAAAATGGCAATGCAATTGTTGGCATTGTCAGTGGCATGAAATTTATAGCGTTGCAGGTTCACAGTTAGTGTTACAGAGTTACCGAGTCACAGTTCACCAATTCGCTGACAGCAAGTCGTGACAGTGGCAGTGACAGTGGCAGTGACAGTGACAGCGCCAGTGACAGCGCCAGTGACAATGACAGTGACAACAAACACCGGCTGCATGCAGTCACTCACTCACTCACTCAGTTAGTCAGTCAGCAAGTCAGCGAGTCAACGCGTCAGCGAATCACAACTCTGAGCTGTGGGTGAGAGTCGAAAGTGGTAACTGGCGTCGACATCCTGGCCAAGGCAATGACATGCTTGAGTAAAGCAACAAAAAGATCAAAACTGATTTATTTATAAACGCAATTTATCGCTGACTCTGGCAAAAGATTTCGCTTTGCAGTTGAACAAAGCCAGATTCCCAAAGAGCCAAAAAGTCAGCACAAATTAAAATACAAAGCGCAAAATGTTTGCCAAACTTGTTGCGTCGACAGCAGCAGCAACATCAGCAGCAGCAGCAGCAGCAACCACATTGCTGACAACAGCGCCTGGCAAGGTCATTTGCTTCGTATGTCGATGACAAAGACAACGACCAACAAATCACAATGCGCCCCACTCTCCAGCAACTACAGCAGCAGCAGCAGCAGCAGCAACAAAAAAAAAAAACGCGAGCAGCAGCCGACAGGGCAGATGTTGCTGATGTCGCACTGTTGGCGGCGTGACAGGAAGTGTTTCTTGGTACAGTGTCGATTGTTGTTGGGCCGCAGTTTGTCATTACCTGCAGGCGGCGTTTATTTTTGGGCTAGCTGCATTGCTGTTGCTGCTATTGTTGCTGCTGCTGCGTGTTGCTGCTGCTGCTGCATGTTGCTGTTCTCGAGTTAGCTGTGTGTTGGCCGCGTGTTTAGCCCAGTAGCCGCCGCCACAATGCTTTTGTAGGTGTTGTCCTTGTCCTTGTCAACGGCATCAGCAGCGTTGGCACTAAACGCGTTACGTGACCCACCCAAGCACTGCACACACGCTGCACAGTGGTGCAAGAGCGGCAAACATAGCCGCAACTTGCCTTTTGGGCTTAGCCTTAACCTAAACATTTGGAAATTTTGGCTTTAGAATAATTTAAA